CTCCACATCATCAAAAAAAATATAAAAAATGCCACATAAGCAAAGTTAACTGTCCAAATTAACAGAAGGACTAACGGAGTGCATTTCGTATAGTTGAGGGATCAAAAAAGTGTAAAAAATTGTTGAGGGACCAAAAATGTGCAACTCACTAAATTTGAGGGACCAAATTTAGCATTTAACCAATTACTAATGATGAGATTGGTAAGGTTTGAAGGAATGAGAAAGATATTATACGTTGGGTTGGGTTGGGTCCCTTTAGCTTCATCTTTTTCTTTCGCGGACCTACCAACCCATCTTACAATCTTGAAATTTTTTTCCTTTTACTTTGACATTAATGTGAACTATAACGTGGTAATCAAGGAAGAAACTTTCCCATATTGACTTGCCTTTTCTATTTGCTTGAGTTTAAGCTAAATATTAGTCAGAGTGCTAAGTTACGGCAAGATTTTGTTGCAACTTGTGACAGAAAGGCTTTGCTATAATTGACACTCAAAACATGGCTAATGAAGACACCACAACAAAGGTCACTTCTCGAAAGACAAGGAGAGCAAAGGAAACTTTGAAAGCAACATATCCTAACTCACCATATTACCTGCATCTAAGCGATGATCTTGGAAGAATCTTGGTGACATTTTCTCTAACCAGGGACAACTACCATACATGGAAGAGAGCACTACAAAATGCTTTGTACACCAAAAACAAAATGGGATTTATGGATGACACACTCAAGAAGCCAGCCACAGATTCACAAGAATTTCAAGCTTGGAAAAAGTGTAACTCCATGGTTCTTTCATGGATTTTAAATGCCATATCTTGAGAACTCTATAATAGTGTTGCATGTGCTGATAATGCACAGGAAGTTTACACAAATTTGTAGGAGTGCTTTACACAGGGCAATACAACTAGAGTGCATGAATTGAAGCACAAACTGGCCACAATTACCTAACAAACCAGGCTAGTTGCAGTAGTATATTTCACTAAGTTGAAGTCGATTTGGGATGAACTGCAAGCATACAAACCAATACTAGTGTGCTCTTAGAGCTACACTTGTGGGGCTGCAAAGTAATATCTTAAAGCCTGAGAAACAGAATAAGTCCAATTTTTGATGGGATTAAATGAAAACTTTTCTACTTTGCGCTCTTAGATTTTGAATATGGAACCATTACCCTTTTTGAATAATGTGTATGCCATGGCTACAAAAGAAGAGAAACAACTTGGGGACCAACAATTGAAGCAATAGCCTTAGCAGCAAAGACAAGCATGCATCAGGCTAATCTCCAATATCCGAATTGTTCAAGGAGTAGTATGATCAACTCCTCAAACTTCTTGGTGGTAATTTAGTCACTAATCATTCGGCAAACTTGGCTGGTAAGATGCAAATTACATCCTCTTATTGGATTATTGATAGTGGAGCATCAGACCAGATGACACCAAATTTATCTAGACTTACTAAAGCCAAGCCTTATACCTTCCCAGTCCACATACCAAATGGATCCTCATTAGAAGTTTCTCACATAAGGAAAGCCATGTCAAGTCATAATCTCACCCTAGAAAATGTCCTTTGTCTTCCACAATTTGCTTGCAACCTCTTATTTGTTAGCAAAATCACTAAGTAATTTAATTGTGTCGTTATATTTTTTCTTGATTTTTGTGTTTTTTAGGACCTTACCTTGAAGAGGTTAATTGGAGTGGGTAAACTATATGAAGGGATGTATTATTGGGATTTTGGGCATATTGCAGCAGCTAGTCAAATAAAGCAGAAAGAAAGCATGTCTTTCAAAGTGTGGCATAAAAGGCTCAATCACATTTCTTTAGATAGATTACCCAAAGGTTAAATGCTAAATTTGGTCCCTCAACTTTACGAAATGCACATTTTTTATCCCTCAACAAATTTTTGCACTTTTTTGATCCCTCAACTATACGAAATGCACTCCGTTAGTCCTTCTGTTAATTTGAACCAATAACTCGCTTATGTGGTATTTTTTATAATTTTTTTGATGACGTGGTAAAAACAAATTA